CGCGAAACCGGGGCCTGCTGCCAGATTAGCCTCTGTTCGCGATGGCTGGGGTTCGCCACACAAAGGGGCTTCTGGACCCAGTGCAAGCTGGGACTGAACAAGCCTGGCTCAGTCCCAGCTCACACCAGCCCAAAACTGCTGTGGCTCTGCATTTTAAATGTAGTGTTCTGGCTCTCACTGGTCTGGGATCTACCCTCACTGTGCCTCTGCAGTTTAAATGTAGTAGGAGCCAGGCTGTCTGCATGCCCAGCTCCTACTACATTTAAACTGCAGAGTCACAGCGCTGGTAGCTCCTGGACCAGCACGAGCCAGAATAGAGCACCTTCTCTTATTAATTAATCTTGTAATCAGTACAAATTTTGACTACATGATTAGTCAATTAACCTCCTCTTAACATCCTTAGTGGTGAATGATGAAGAACTGGGGATATGCGGAGCTCTTCTAATATCAGAAGAGAACATATATACAAGTTTTAATGTGACAAGAAGTCTTGTGGCACCTTATAGACTAACAGATTTATTGAAGCATAAGCTTTTGTGGGCAAAGACCCACTTCATCAGATTCATGAATCTGACGAAGTGGGTCTTTGCCCACGAAAGCTTATGCTCCAATAAATCTGTTAGTCTATAAGGTGCCACAGGACTCCTCTTCACTTTTGCAGAGTCAGACTAACACTGCTACCCCTCTGATACTTGACAAGTTTTAATGTGTTTCATGACTTTTTTTTTTTTTTTTACAAAATCTGTTTTTCCAATATACTGCAAATTTGTGGGGTTTTTTACACATTGAGTTCTGACACAGGCAACATATTTTAAGAATAAGTAATCTGTTAATATAGTGACCAAATATAATACCATCCAAAGAGCTATTCTTTCTCCTACTCTGAATGACATCCCAGATTGCATTTTAGTTAGCCAGAATTGTTGAAAATGTCTGGAGATGACTTTGAGGTTCATGTGTCCACATTGTTTGTTTGCAACTCCTCGCATATTTTTATAAAGACTTTTTATAGCTATGAAGTAGTAGTATATCACAAAAAAAAATTGCAAAACCATGTTGTTAGGAGCAGAGTACTTAATCACCACCATGATGCATGTGCAGCAAGCTTACATACCAGTTCTCACAGCAGGGTATGATAGCATCAGGAAGATGACTTCTGGCAAAGATGGGGTACATCCTGGCAAAGATTCTGAGGGAAAAGGATCAAACATTAAGCATCTGTTTGGAGGTGTGGGGGGAGGACCCAGTTTTGGTAAGCTTCATAATGTCCTTAGAGAGAAAATATATAATAAATAATCCCAAAAGGGGTAACAATTACTTTGTTTAAAAAAAAAAGTACAAATTAAGTTTTGAACATTTAATGATTAGCTGTTTCAGGATTATTATCTCTTAAAAAGTGTTTATCTATTTAAGGTTAATGAGACCTCATGCAGCTCTCTGCTCATTCTCCTACGATTTCCTAACTCCCTGGGTTTGGGAATTTTAATGTAAGGCGAAGTGGATTGGAGTTCTTATTATAAATTAAGTTTTTAACAATAAGAAGTGATTATAAACAGGCATGCTGGGGATAAACAAAAACATGGAATGATAAAATAGCATATCAGATCCATTCAGTAAAAAGCTTTTTTTTTTTTTAAATTACCCGATTTACATAAGAAAAAACTCCATTAAAAATGAGTGGCAGGTTGACTCTCAAACTTTTTTCAAACTATGCTGAATAATAATCTCTAAATCCATAGTTGGCAAATTATTATCTAAACTGATCCAGCATCTTTTCTCTGATTTTACTGAATGACACAGACTCCAGGGCCCCCAATGTATGTAGTAACAAGAGAATTTCTGCAGTATGAATGTATGTAACTTTTTTTCTTTTGATCACCTGGAACAGCAGGTCTTGAATTTCTGTTGCCAGGTAACTACTTACTTCCCTGAACATCAACAATGCTCATCTTTTACCACATAGCTTAAACTCTAGTAAAGACCTGCTAAATCAAACTCAGAGTGCCTGTGCTACTGCTCCTCTCAGGGAGTAAGGGAAGCTGACAGGAGCATTTGTGCAGAAACTCAAATTAAGATACGTCAACTTCAACTACATAGTTAATGTAGCTGTAGTTATGTATCTTAATTTGACTTTCCCCTTTAGAGTAGACTTGGCCTTAGGCACCACATGATAGACATCCATCCTTTTTACTGAACAAGGTTCAATAGACCTTCCTTCAAAGCATGAATGTTAATTGCTGTACTGCTCAATGATTCTGAAGTACAAAGCACTTTTGAATAGTTCTGTCCCTTGCTCTGCACAGAGATGATTGAACTGCCGTTCCAGCACCCCCTAATCCTTGTAGCAGGACAGACTCGTCAGTAGGATAGCTTATTCATGTTTTATTAGTTTGTTACTCCAGGATAGATATCCTAAGCCTTTAAGTGTGTGTTTTATCCATTAAGTCCTCAACCCATTATAGTGGTTGAGGCTTCTTAAAATGTCCCTCTGGAAGAGCAAGTTTCCTGGAATTACTGTTCACCCCCATTCCCAATCATTAGAAAATCATTCAGGCTGTGTCTCGACTGGCAAGGTTTTCTTTTGCGGAAAAACTTGCCAGCTGTCTACACTGGCCGCTTGAATTTCCGCAAGAACACTGACTTCCTACTGTCTGAAATCAGTGCTTCTTGCAGAAATACTATGCTGCTCCTGTTCGGGCAAAAGTCCCAAAAAGTGCTTTTGTGGAAAAGCATCCGTGCCAATCTAGATGCTCTTTTCCACAAATGCTTTTAACGGAAAACTTTTCTGTTAAAAGCATTTGCGGAAAATCATGCCAGTCTAGACGTAGCCTCAAGGTGTTAAGGATGTTTTTAAAATGCATTTTTCATAGGAAAAATTCGATATAACTTGCACCACTATACATATATATAATTAAATAATACTTTGGTGCAGTTCACTAAACATTTCAAGAGCTAAGCCTCCTATACCTCTTGGTCAAGACAGGTGTCAACAAGCTAATGTTGGCAATGCACGTAATTTATCACATTATAGAAAAGGACGGTTTAAAAACATGTTTGTTTTAGTCAGTGCAGAATAGTTAATTGTTTTGTCTCAAGTGGCGGTAATACTTATATTCTTGACAAAAATCAGATGTTTGTGAGAAGAAGTGTTTTCTTTTCACTATACATGGTAGTTTGCACTTTTCATTGGTCCATCATGCTGTTTTTTTTTACCTCTGCCTGAACCCAAATCCCCTCGCAGCCTGACAGAAATGTTTGCTTATGCAGCTAGCCCTGCTTCAGTTTGTACCACCTCCTTCTCCAGCATTCGGCTGCGACATCAGAAGTCGATGTCCATGTCACACTCTGTGCACACGAAGATGATGTTACCTCCAATAAACAATGACACAGATAACTTCAGGCTTGTGTAAGAAAAACTGAAATAATCACAAAACTAAATTTTACCTTTTTAGCTTTGTGTCGTGGAATTTTAGTCTTAGATTTGTTATAGACTCTATAAGGTGTTTCCTAATTTTTAGTTTTGTTTATATTGTTTTGTGTGTGTCAGGTTGTCTGAGAGATAATCTTACCATAGTGAACATTTAATACTTTTTTCTTATTACTAAAATTATCAAATTCATCTATTGAACACTTTTGGGGGGCCAGTTCTAAGATGCTCACAAATGGCAGTTCTGCACAAGCATAGAAAGTAATGTTATATATTATCCATTTTTTCCCCTGACTTGGAAGGAATTTTCTTTTGTCCTTCCTCCTTTCCTTTCTTTCATCAGTCATGTCAGTGAACATGTGTGCACATTTTCCTCTGATTTGCACGATATTAGATTTTTCTAAATGCTCTGATTTGTGTTTAGGCTTCCTTTATGCCTCACACTTTTGTAAAATATTTCAACCTGAAATCTGCTATAGTAACTTTCTTTGTTCCGTCTGTTATGGCCTATGTAAGGATGTGATTAAGTATACTGTATTGTAGAATTTATGGTTGCACATTTGTAGACACACACTGTTTCCTACAGAGCTTTGTGGAGTTCCATTAAAAGATAACATGAAACTGTATAGTGTGTTTTTGTTTCCTTCTATAGCACTGTTCCTGATCAAAGAACTCCTGTTGCTTCAACTCACAGCATTAGCAGTGCAACTACACCTGATCGCATTCGTTTCCCAAGAGGAACGGCCAGTCGTAGCACTTTCCATGGTCAGCTCAGAGAGCGACGTACTGCTACATACAATGGACCACCTGCCTCACCCAGTCTATCACATGAAGCAACACCTCTTTCACAGACTCGAAGCAGGGGCTCCACTAATCTTTTTAGTAAATTAACTTCAAAACTAACAAGAAGGTAAGGCTTGTTTTAAAATAAGAGTTGTAATAGCAAGGCTTTCTCTCTGCTTAGGGACTACTTATTCTCCAAATACAGGTCCAGAACCCTTGGGACCTGCCTGGTCCCAAAAGAAGGAATTTGCCAGACCAGAGGAGATCCCCTGCTACTGGCTCCCCAGACCACCTTCCCTCCCTGCTGCTGGCCCCAGTTGCCCCCCTGCTATGCTGCTCTGGCCCCGGCAGCCCGGACTGCCCTGGCCTGAGCCCCACC